TTTCAGCTGGTTGTTCGTCATGCCGTATTTGAAACCTGGCATCCTTGCACTGGCTGCACTTCTGGGACCTAGGGAAACAGCCAGTCAGTTGGGCTTTCTCTCTGTGCTGGGCTCGGGCTCAGGCTCTGCCCCAGCCCTGGCAGAAAATGATGTCTGGGTTTTCCAGGGTGGCTATGGGAGAAGTTTTTCTGCAATTTTATTGCAGCACCCCAACCTCGCCCCTGGTGTTCCTGCTCTAGGGCCATAATTGGTCTGGTTTGTTGCCCTAACATTACACACCTGGAATTTGAGACATTTTGCTTCTGCTTTGCTTTGTTTTAATCAGGCTTGCTTGAAATGTCATGTTTAAATGAGACAAATGGCAAGCTGTAGAAATCTCAGCATAGGTGGCAAGGCAGTAACTGCGTACAGAGCTTGGCATGAGGCACTGGGACTACCTGAGATCTCTAAGTGCCACCTATAAATATCAAATATCAGTGCGTATAAAGGTGAGTGCAGAGGACAGAAAATAGTTTTACTCTATGCTGTAGTATGATTCATGCTTTTAAGATCAAGATTAAAAGTCTCTGTTAAGTTCCAGACCATGATTTTATTTTCATTTACATCAAAGGATTTAAGAGCCTTCAAAACCCAGCATTTTTAAAAATAACTTAAAACATACTGTCTGGCAATGTGAGTCCCAGTTAGCACAGAAGCAGCCAGGCTCTCCTCATACAAAGCAAATAACTGAAAAGTCAGAATTAAAGAAATGCCTTGTCCTCAATTTAACTCCAACATCTTGCATTGTACTTTCGTTTCAGGAAAAATACTTATGAAACATAGCCCTGGGTGGTAAACCCTGCAGATCACCAAAAACCACGTACCATAAGAGCTTGTGCTTTTATGCAAGGTTCGGAGCCTTCATTTGAATTTTTGGGCTTGTTTGTGTTTCAGAAGCAAAGCTACTGAATTGCATCTTGAAAACCATATTCCAGTGTAGGTTTCCTCAAAACACAGCCCAGGTTTGATCAAAAGGTTCTCAAGTCTGCAAACCTTTTGACAAACCCAATGAATGTTTACGTTTTCTAAGTAAACTCCAAACCAAGTGCATCTTCATGGGCTCTGGCACCTTGCTGTGGAGCTTTTTGGTTTGGATTTTTTCCCCCAGTTCCTGCCAAAATCCCATCTATGCCACGGAACTGGGCTTTCAAGGTGGGAATTCTAGCATTTTTAGTGATAAACAGGGCAGCAGGCACAAAAAATAAACATCTAGACCCAAACAAAATATTTAGCTGTATTTGTACAGCACCGAATGAAAAGCAGTTTTGTATTTTGGTTTAATGTCCGTTCATGTGGATCAGACTGCGCAGTGTTTACTTGTCCAAACCACTGAGATAATCCTTGCTGCATATAGAAATACATTTTAATTACAGAGGAATAAATAATGTGGGATTTTTTTTCTTTTTTTTTGCTTTATGCGTTTTTCTACCAGCAGACAAAAGCTGACATTTATTTTACTGATAGCCCTGTATTTCCCCTCCCGCTACCACTGCAGCAGAATTTCTTTTGCCCAAGGAAATTGAGAGGATCAGAGCACATCTGATGTCCCATTAATTTAAAACGGCTGCCAGGACTTGCATATTGTAGCAGCTTTAAAGTGATTGAATTTGGATTATTTCAAACTCTGGAAAGTCCTGCCTCGCCTGACAGAGGCATATCAAGTGACAAAATAAAATACGACCGCGGTGCGAGATATCCACGCTTACATGCGTTCTCTTCCCCGCGCACGCAGTCTTGCAGCAGACAGATTAGAGGCAATGGAAATAAAAACCCGAATATATTTACCCCGTTTTGTTGGGTTTTTCTTTGGTCGCAGCCCCCTTTCTGGAGCTGTAGCCCAGCTAAGTGGAGACACCTGGTGTTTGCTGCAGCAAGTTCACTGAAAAGCATGTGAAAGGGGGCGAGGAGAGCAGGGGTGCCCGGGGTGCTCTGTCCTGTGCACAGGGCTTGGGCATGCAGCTGGAGAGTCCATCTCATCCCTGCTGCCAGGGCCTGCCAGCAGCCCGCTGCCTTCCTCCGCTCTCCTCCTGCCCGAGGCAGCAGCGCCCGGACACAGAAGGGCTGTTACACGAGAGCTGTGTGCTGGGGGGGTGGACTTCAGCCTGTCAGGTGTTAAATTTAAGCGCTAACTTTTGGGTAATAACTGTTTTGTAATGCTTGGTGAGTAACTTGTGCAGCGTAGTTCCAAAAGCAGAAACAGTTTACGCACGGCCAAAGGAATATTAAAGTTTCACTGCAAAAGAAATAGAGTGGCTGCCAAGGCCTGATTACTCATAAAATCCACAGCATTATCACCATCCATCACTGCCGTTCTTTTAATGACCAGACTAAAAAGAGAGACATCAAAGTTGGGGTGGTGGTGTCGTCATCGTTTTTTGAGAGTAAGTTTCCCTAAATACAGGATGAATACTAGAGCTCCACATATTTTTCAGGAAAACAAAAACAACAAAAAACACAACCATTTGAATGAATCACAAAACATATGTTATGTTTTGCTGTAAAAGCCATGAAGTTTTTATGCAGCGCTCTATTATGGTGACTGCTTGGCTTTTCATGCATTCCTAAATTACCATGTAATCTAAAACCTTGTTTTCAGCTGCTCTATATTGGAAAGTCCCCTGCAATAATCAGGATGATTACAGGCTAGTGCAGAGAACAAAACTTGTTTGTATTATTGCAAATAAAAATGTGGTTTATCAGAAATTTTACCTTTCAAGGGAAAAATAAAAACAATAATAATGATAAACTTTCTCTTTTCTCTTGCTGGAAATATTTTAAGCACGGAATTAATTTTGGCTACTCTACAACTTAAAAACACGTGGATACTTAGTGTAAAAATATGTTTCTTTCCTGTAGGGACTTGACTCTAATCGGTGAGCCAAAACTATCTCACAGAGATTTCATTGTCTTATCTACTTACATCATCTTAATGTGATTTTATTTTACTTTGTCAAAGTCATATTAATGTAAATGTGTTCTTGATAGCAAACAGAGGTCTTTTTTATGCTAAACAGGATTCAGCTGACTCTAATAAAACAGCTTGCAATCCATTAGACTATAACTGTAATATAGTTATTTTGTTTCCCAAATAAAGACTGTGTCAGAAAGCTGTATGAGAATTTTTGTCTTGTTTTTCCACAATAATTGCTTGGGTGGGGTTACATTCTGATCTTTAAATGAATAGTATCGCTTGGAACAAACACTTCATATATCTTTTATCTTCCCTTCGCAATACAGTTCTGAATTTTCTTTGAAAATGCAAAGCTACTTTTCCAGATAAGTCATCAAAATGTTTCCAAAGTATTTTAACTGCCAGATTAACTATATCTTGAATACAAAGATAGATGGCTTACATTCTTTATGCAGAAATCCTGCCAATGCATAGCAACTAGCAACAAATTAATTTCTTTTGCAACAGTGGGGGGGGGGGGGGGAAGAAGGGGAGAAGAAAACCCTGCTTTGCTATGCAAAGCTCAAAAAGGTAAATAGATATTTAAAGAGAAAATAAGGTTACTCGTTCTGAAAGAGTAATCTGTAAGCAAAGAACAGAGGATTAAACACACATTTGCTCTCTTTTCAGAGCCTGTGTTCTAGCCTTCCCTTAATGTATTCAGCTAATTAAGGGCTGCAGTGACCTTGTGGCAGATTTTGAAATCTAGGAATTTCTTTTTTTTCTATTTATTTTATTTTTATTTCCTTTAATGCTGCCTCCCCCAGAGAGCTTAATACAATCTGTTTCAGGTCAAAGTCTGTTTATGTCAGCAATGTTCATACTACACAACTAAAATGTTTTAATGCATTTATCAACTGGAAAATATTGCAAACATTTCATTTCCTTTGATACAGACACAAAAAACCCTCTGCCTTCATTGCAAATTCTTGTTCATATGAATCACTCTGAGTAATATTTGCTTTAACTTTCGTGTGGTTCTACAAACAGCCTTTATATGGCTGGACTTCAAAGCTGGTAGAAATAAAGGTTAGAAATGTGATAGGAGTAATCTATTATTAGGCATGAAACATTAAACCACTTTTAGTTATAAGCCTTAAAACCTGAATAATCTGGGTTTTTAATTTGCTGCATATTTATTGTGTTTTCAGTTACTTAAGTCATTTAGCGTGGAGGGACTGTTTTGAACAGAAATATTTTCCATAGGGATACGAACCACAATTGGGTTTAATTTTTCCTAATATTTAATTTAGAAAAACTGCAATATTATAACAGACGTCTCGTATGTCAAAGCTGAAATACTCTGCTCGGTGTTTCTCGCCGTGCAAAATTAATCTCTTACCAGCACACTGACCCGAAAGGCAGGCTTTAGTAAAATAGGCACAGGGTGAAGGCAAGGGAGTGGGACGGGAAGATAAAATCTAGTTCTTCAAATAGAAGGGAGGGAGGGGGGGAAATAGCACAGAAAAATGTCACAGCCCACCATTGACATTGAATGACAAAACCTGACCCAAATATGTACGTGAGAAGTTTCTTTGACCCAAACACCCCACACCATCCACCATTCATCCCTAGCTGCCCCCCGTCATTGTTAGTTCTGCACAAGAGCACTGCTTGTGAGGAAGTGCTTTGGTCTGAGAGCCGGATGTTGTGGAGGGATCGCAGTAGGTTTGGGGGACTTCAGACTGGTTCAGCTGATCAAGGGGTAGGAACCACAGTCCAAGTTGGTAATGTTTTATTTGTGGTTAAATCTGTGTGCTAATACAGTAGATTAAAAATAAGCCCAACAGTCAAAGACACAGAGCAGTTCAAGCCAAACAGGTCAGCCAGAAACAAACTACCATTTGAAATCCAGATTTTTAAACCCTTATTAGTTTGGGAAAGAGCAGGGGTGCAGCCTGGGCCTGATCCTGGTCCCACAGCAGCAGTGGGAATTTTACCATTGACAATGTGAGCCACATTTCTTTTTCCTGTTGATTTCAATTCTAAACAATTGATTTTGTTTCCCCAGGTCCTGCTGTGCCAAGTAACTATGGCCACTGGCTTTCTGGCTGCCCTGCACAGGGTGGGACTGGGGGGGATTCCCTCACCCCTTCCCATGGAGGTATAGTTGAATTCAGCACCACTGTGGGCTCCAGCCCCTCATCAGGACATTGACTGCCTTGCATTGCATTGCCAGAGAGACCTCAGCAATGTGGAAAACCAACCCAAACCATCATCATATTACCAGTCAGAGTGGGTAATGTTCACATTTACAGCGTGAGCATGGCGCAGGCACCGCCTTGGGCTGCCACGCTCTCCCATTGGTGTCATGGGATTGTGAGGAATTTAGTGGCTTCCTTCACAGGTGCGTGCAGGACGGTCCCTGGGTGGGCACACGGGCAGAGCCCAGGGTCACGCCTGGACCCGGGTCTGAAGGAGGGAGGTGTCTCAGGACCTAAAGGTCCTGAAGTCAGTCAGTCTAAAGTCAGTCTAAAGACTGACTGGGCAAAGTCACCCATGTGTGAAGCTGGAGGCACCAAGCGAGTCCCCTTATGGCAGGGTGCCGGCAAGGTTCCCTTGGCAGCGGCTGTCCCGCTCCGGAGTGGAAAACTCTTGCTGGCTATTTATATTTTGTTCAGTGGAAGAAAGAGGCCACACCCCCATCTCATTAGTGTAAAAAAAGCATCGACAGCTCTGTAGTCTCCACCTTTCCTTCTCCCATGCTCCACTATCACGCCTGGTCCTGAGCCAGCCCGGTTTAATAGGTTACCCTGCAAACGTGGGGACTGCGGTGCTGTGCAAGGTTGTACATTCACAGGAAGCATATGTGCAAGGAACCATAACAGCAGCAGACTAAGGAGCGATAGCCCTGGCCAGCAACAGCGAGAGATGTTAATATTGCTGGGGAAGGTGAAAACATAATTGAAACCATTTATATGGGAGCATGTGGGACTGGATGAGGCGATAGTTTCTGAGCAACAAATATCTGTAATTCACTTGTACCAGTCTTACAGACTTTTAATTTGCTCTACAAATTTGGTTAGTTGGAGAACACGTAAACACCAAGAACTGCACAGGGCAATCCATTAAACATTAACTTATTGTAGACTTAAAAAAAACCCAACCACTCTTATGATATTAAAAACATAAGGGGAAAGAGATGCCAGGCTAGTGAATGAAGCCAGCTGACTGCTGAGAAGAGGCTATGGTTTTGCTCCGTAGCTTTGCCGTTTTCAGTAATCTGACTCACTGAGGTATATTTAGACACAGTAACAAACTCCATTGTTAAGTAATTTTTCATTTGAATTTTCCTCAAATTATGCTGTCCTCCTGGCCCCTAAATTCCTTTCTTCAGTGAGGCAGTGCTGCCCTCCACGCCCTGAGGAGGAAGGGGAGCCGTGGAGGACTGATGATTCGGACCACATGGTGGAATAAGATAGATCTCAGCGTCAGGTTGGCAGGATATTTCTCTTTCTTCAAAGGTCTCCAAACCCAGCAAGCTTTTCTTTGATATCTTTCCAAATGGATTTATCAGCACTGGGGCATACATTTGTTTAGATTGTTCCTGTAGGGTGGGACTTTCAAAAGAGCGGAAGAGTGCCAAGTGCCAAATTCTCACCAAGTTCTCCATAAAGATTTCCTTAGCTCCCTTTGAAAATCCTAGCTATGTTCCACATTGCTCTGCGCATCCCTGCTGGAAAGGTGCCTATGGTACCCTCACAGTGTGGGCACAGGGGGTACAAGAAAGATGGTGACATTTCAGAAAACAGGCAGAGGAAGAACTGGCTCTAGACAGAGGAAATGCATGAAAATGTGGAGGTTGGGAGGAAACAAAGAAGGAAATGGAGACCGTACTCCCTAGACCCACCATCTTTCTTTTCCTTTCTTTATCCTTCCTTCCTGTTTTCCATTTCTTCTGTTGGTTTTCTCCAACATGTTGTTGTTACAAGAGAGGGGAGCATACACTGTGTATAGAGAGCATGGGCAGAGCTCGGATCCCACAGACACCTGCTCATGCTCTGGGCTTCAGGTGTGTTGAAACAGATGCAGGTGACCTAATGGTGCCAGGTCTGATCCTCCTTTGGCCTCCTGAAGCAGAGGCTGCAGCGCTAGGACAGAAGCCACAGAGGTTTGGCATCTGATCATCTTATGTACTTTTCATAAAGTAGCAGTTGAGACCGCGCCAATTTTTATGTGCTACCTCAGGAGTAAGCAAGACATCTATGGCGAGCTGCATAGGAACATCCAGGCTAGCAGCTACTGAATAACAAATGCACTGATGGCCAAGCAAGGGCTGCCAGAGCCATTGTTCTCCTGCCCTGAGGAAAGGGCCTGATGAGGGCTGTTTGGAAAGGATGTCAGAGAAGGAATCTATTTTATGAGTGAGGAGATACAGTGGCTATTTCTGATCTGTTATCGGTGCATTAATGATTTGTGAGCTACAGCAGGGTTTGTGTGTCCTCTGGTTTGGGGGGGGGGGGGGGGGGGGGGGTCAGATTGAGGAGATCCTCCCAAGTTTTCTAATACCGTATTTGTAGTCATGTACCTGGCTGGGTTTTTTTTAAATAGTAAGTACCTAAAAATTGCCAAGAGCCACATCATGTCTTAAATCTAGTTTCTCCTTACTGCCTCTTGGTTTCCAGATGGAATTTAAGATGCTGATTTTGCTCCCAAACTCCCATGGCTTGGCCTTGGCAAGGAAAAGTGGTTCTGTTAAGATTGGTCGTACATTACAAGCTCAGTAAGCCTCAGCACGCCCCTTCTTGTCCCACGTGGATCCAAGGATTAGATGTCAGCTCCCTAACTCAGACAGGTTGGGCACAGACTTGCTGCAGCAGCTGTGCCCTCTGAGGAGGGCAAGGGCAGTGGGGTGCTGGGGCAGGGAGGGCACAAGGACCCTTGGGTCTGTATCACTCACAGAGAGACGGGGGAAAGAGGCGAGAGCCTGGAGGGAGCTTTGGAGAGGCTCCCCAGTTTGCACTGGGGACTGGGTGGTGCTGGCATCTGACTTGGGAGGTTCTCAGATCCCAGGAACTGGTGTTTGAAAGGAGCTTGGTTGGGCACTCCTGTTGGTAAGCTTTGAGAGATCAGAGTCCCCTTTTGATTTATTTCAACCATTCAGCTACCAAGAATAAGATAGGGACCTTTCTTACGTGTTTTGGAGATCTAATAAAACACACAGGTCTGCAAAAAGTGCTTTGCCGTGTGCAAACCAGCATTGCAAATATCTATGTGAACGTGGCGCTCCAGCATCAGCCTCCAGATGCCATGTAATGTGGTTGTGGTTTGATGGTCTTCACTCAACGCTGGCTAAAATATTTTTATCTTTAGATTTGTTTTTAGAGTTTATGGTTGAAAGATTTCAGCTCTGGGCAGCCCTTCCCATGGCTTTGAGCAGCGACACTTGCAGTTGTGTTTCACATAATTAAACAGCCAACAATACTTAATGAAGAAATAAATAACATCAATAAAGCAGTAAATAATTATATGCAGGCAAACACCAAAGACATTATCCATCAGGCAACAGCTGTGAGCATTAGTTTTGATTAATCAATAATTTTGTACAATAGGAGCAGGAATGCTGGCCAGGCCTCTGGGGGAATCACCTCTGCTTTTCCAAGCAGCAAGGTTTGTGATTTTAAGCAGAACATTCAGCAGAATCCTTAATTAAATGTAACAGCCAGGAGCTACTCCACCAGCAAACGCTCCACTTCTCAAAGCAGACCGAGCGGTGGGAGTTTGACCAAGGCCGATTTAAGGCCTTGTCTGTATTTTGGAAGGTTTGTCGGTGTATCCGTGTAACAGGGTACCACATCCATCAGTAAAGGGGCTGTTTGGCTGAGGATGCTTCGGCAGGGTCTAGGCAAACTTGGCAAGGGGTTGGCAGTGCACGGCTTGTGCTGCCTGGGAAGAACAAGCCAGCACTTTTTGGCTGTGCCTCCACAAAGGCGCCAGCCCAGCCTGCAGCTGGTGGCTGCAGGGCATCATCCCAGTGCAGGTGGCTTCTGGAGCAAGCGCCATTCTGTGTTTGGTTTCAAAATGTAAATACGGCTGGAATTCTGACTCCTCTGGAGCCCAGCAAGGGCAGGCTGGTGCCGGGGTCTGGTTCATCTTCAGGTGGCCCTCCTGGACACAGGAGCCTCAACGAAGCTTTCAGGAGAAATGGATCTCCTCCCGAGCAAATCCCTCTTCCCAAGAACTCCTGCCACCACCAGCCCATTGCTTTCCGCGGTGCCGCTACCTCCTTGGACAGCATCCCTGAATTGTGCTGAGAGGCTCCTCTCCAATCGGTCAGACCAACTGCAGGATTCTTCCTTGCCTTTTTGTTTTTTTCCTTCCTTAATATACAAAGAGCTTTAAAGAACGCAAACCTTTCAGAAAGACTGATCCCAGCCTAGATAACAGGCACAAGGTTTTATAGCCCTTACCCCATTAAAAAAGAAAGAGAAGGGACAGGAGGGGTTTCTGGTGTGTCAGGGACAGGTTTCCAGAACCCATGAGGGCTTGTTCCTCATGAAGCCAACCACTGATGGCTTCCTGGTGTCTGAATACAAAACAGCGCCACATCGCTTCCACCGTAAATCCAATACCGGTGATACCTGTCTACCAGCAGAGATGGGAACTCAAGGAGAAAGAGGGGAGCAAGGCAAAGGGCTGTTGCTTGGCTTGAAAGATGGAAACAAAACTGACGTGCAGACCCACACTGAAGGTTATTTTAATTCTGCGTGATGGCGGGTGCACGCACAAATGTTACAAGCCTGAGGCACACAGGTTTGTTGAGCTAGAAATGGTGATGCTCCCGAGAGGTATGGACAGGGAAAGCCCTCATCCCTTGTTTGAGATATGGAGGTTTGCAGAAGGCAATGGAGGAAACGTTGCACTGCTTAAAAGCCCAAACACTTCCCAAAGATCAACCTTGGAGTCGTTTTTTTCCAAACCCTATCAGAGGGAGGACCAGGAACAGAAATCTTGCATGATAATTGCTGATAGCACAACAAAACCCAGAGGGTTTCCTTACCCACTTCTCAACGTGCAGGCACTAATAAACTGCTGTGATAACATTAATACTCCTGATAGTCTCTGTGGACTTCTACCAAATATGAATTTCATTATCATCTGCAAAAGCAAAGTACATTGTGGGTGTTTAAAGGTATAGCCAGTAAATTGTGGCATTGCTGCCTGTTCACAGCCCGTCATATAACCCATTTTCAAAGCACCTGCCAGCTGGGTATGGTAGCACTGACTGCA